CTAATTGATTACTAAAACGCCTTCTATGGATCATGTCATTGCTTCCGAAGCTCAAGATCAGATTGTACGATGACCTAATTGATAAACAATTTCATAAGTTCTGCATTTTAATTTCTAAATTTATTAAGTATTAAAAAAGATAAACTGTCAATTCATTCACTGACCATCATCAGCCTTTTTCGATGCACCGCTGCATGAAAGCTTCTCCAAGACTGTGCCATAAATTTTGGTTTTCTGTGATTCATATCCGTCTTCGTCAACGAACTACTTCAACGGAATTGGCATTGAAAACTGATCTAGTGGTCTTCCTATGAGCGCTTTTCAATTATGTGGTGCGAATAACCCATGGCTATAATGACCTTGGTATGATTCCTAACCTTCATTCAACCTGACCTAGGAACAGGTTCTGTCAAAATTCTATACAACATCCAAATTCTGATGCACTCGGCTGCACAGGCCATCTCACAGTGTTAGCGTTGTATTTAAAAAGTTTTATTGGTAGGAATACAACAAATACGCAACTGCTAAATGGCGATCGAGCAGCCGTCTAAAATTATTATTCCTGTACAATACACGAGCGCAAAAATGTCACACACTGAGGTACAATCAAGCAATCGGATCTAAAGGTCGATTGAAACCACCGCGACGGTTCATGTATTGTCTGTATTTCCGCTTTTTATGAACACTGGATAAGCCCCTGACGTTTGATGGAACCTTCTTTCCCTATTCGTAAATTTGTCTATAAACGAACGGCCAAATTACTGTATATCACTCACCTTCGTAGAGTCGAACGACGTGAAACCCAGCGTCTGCTTCAGCAGAGTTTCTTCGTCAAGTTCTGGAGCAGGAACGGTCGATATTTCTAAAAACAGGCAAGATCGTAATTTTGCAACAGAAAGTTTCCATCTGATGGAACGGCAAATGCGCTCCATCAGATGTTTGACACGTGTGGTCATTATGGAATGATTGATGGTTCCAACACAAAGGACCGGAAGGCAGCTTCAGCCCACATAAAGAAACGGAAATAATGGTCATTCGAACAATGGCCAACGGCGCATTCCATGCGTAAATCAATTAACGCCTGGATAATACCGGAAAAAAACACCGGTTGCGCCTGAGAATATCCCTGTCAAAGTGAGACTGATGCATATTTATAAAAACGGATAAAAGAATCAGGATGATATAAAAGGACCTATCAGCATTTTAAGCGATAATGAGGTTCATGTAAAGCTGTTGGAATGCCATCATTTTGGAGGTTGTTTTCGGGTTGTACACATGCGCTTTAAATAAATGTTTGACACTTCGTCTCCAGATTTTCTCTCGACACCCCCGACCCCGCTGCAATATCAGCTGCTAAACACCCAAAAAAGTGCAGCTGCTCAAAATATGCAAAACCATAGTCGACATTATGCCACCATCACCTGTTTGCTTTAGTCCCACTGCTATCCACTGCAATTCGTTAATGAAATTAATTATACGAAACGGTGTATCTGGTTAACTATATTCTCCATCGCAGATAAGATCAAGGACCACAAAGGTGACAAATAGCTTCATGTCTATCACCGATATAGTGAAAAGATAGTACGAACAACCTTAACCTATCGTTAACTGTGCTTCACGCTACCCTTGAATGATGAGATGGCTTAGAAAGAATCAGACATCATTTCTTCGACCTTGATTTTGTGCATAAACTTTACCCTTGTAGCCAAGAGATTCATTTCTTCTGCAATCCTGCAACCGAACCGAGGGCTGTAGGAGAAAACGAGATGGAGTCAGGATTAAAAGTTTTTACTATAGGCTAATATGCACAACGGAAAAAAAACACAGCTAAGCAATTTCTATCCCTTCAGCAATGTAACTGGTTGGTCTTATTTACTGCCATATTAGTCATTGACCATCGTGGAACACTAATCCGCGTTGAAAGCACTCCTCCTATGCGTATCTGGTATTATGCTCTATTATTATTGCAATATCTACAGTATGATCTTTCCAAGCGTGGTACCAACTTCCGGCCATTCGCACAGACAGTATATCTTTTCAACCCTTAGAAACAAGGGTATCCATTACCTTTACATTAATGCACTGAATAGCGTCCATGATCTAATGCTACGGCGTCATGCCATCTGACATTTCTGTTGGCATACGGTCATTCATTCACACTATGATTACTTTCAGTCCAATGTGCAGAGCCATCGATTAATCGGCAATGGCACCATATATAAGATATTTCTAAAAGCACTGGTCTAGCTTACACTGATGGCACCTGGTTATTGTTATTGCAATGCATACACCTGAACGGGAAGAATAATCTATTTTGAATGCAATCCAGTATCTCATTCCTAAATTTTCATACGCTTATGATATCCCCTCAAACTGTCATCCGCACGTATACATAATATACACATAGTATAAAGTAAGGAACGTAGTAATCTCCCATAAATAGATCACAAAGAAAATATAACATGTGGATAGTCATATATAAGTATGACAGTTTCACAAACCTCGTTTCTTGTCCTTTTCCTCTCGCTCATGCTTGTGGCTTCGAGAGTGCCATTCTTTCGATCTAAAGCAGAGTTATACAGAGTTCGTACAATCGGACAAAATAAAGTACTGATAGTCAAACAACGATATCCGAAGAAAAAATATTTCGTTCGTGCATTGGTGATATACTGAAAAATAGCGTAAAATACGGTTTAACTATACACAACGCAAAAGATGGTAAGGTCAGTCTGGTGTTTCAGCCCGTATCTCTCGGGGTTTTTTTCAACGGTTCAAAGTTTGTGGTGAAATTTCGTGAATATGGATGATCGTCCGCAGCAGTCGATAGTTTCAGAGCCAGAAGGCCAAAGGAAGCGTCGGTATACGTCAGCCACTGGACTGACCACGGTAACTTTTGCGTTGTGTATACGTTAACCGTGTTTTAATCTACTTTTTAACCATGATATCAATATACTCAATTCACGTCGAACATAAATTAAAAATGCTCCAAAGGGTCTGTTAAAAATGACTGTGTTAAATAATGAAAAGAGATATTACACTGCAAGGTACCAAAGCTTCACAAAAGATCGTAAAAAACAATCTCTTCGCTTTGCCCTCGCTGTCTGTTAAATTTTGCTGTTTGCAGACGATCTTGTTCTGTTGGCATCTTCTGAAACTGATCTCCAGCGCTCTCTGGAAAGGTTCGCAGCGGAGTGCGACGTGGCCGGCATGCGTGAGAACGTGTCTAAAACGAAAGATCGAGTGCTTTCTCATTCCCCTGCTGCGTTCTGCAGATAAATGCAATAGCAGTGGAACGGGTCGACAAGTTCAAGTACTTCATGGTTAGTATTCACTGGTGATTTAAACTGAAAAGAAGAGATTCGCCAACAAACTGGAATAGCCAGCGGCCCTTCTACGTGAACTAGCTCGAACCGTCGTGAACTAAAGTAGAGCTGAATCTGAAGACTAAGATGTCAGTGTTGAAATCGACCTTCGTCCTCATGCTTACTCATGGTCATGCATCATAGACTATGGCTGAAAAACTGTGATCCTTGATACAAACGGCTGAAATGACCTTTCTAACATAAATCACTAGGATTATGCGTTTCGATAGGCTCCAGAGTTAAGATATCCGAATAAGCCATCGGTGCCCAGCCGTTGCTTGCCCGAATTAGGAAGTCATCCATGAGGTGATTTGAACATGTTTTGAGAATTTCTATAGAAAAGAAGGCGAAACAGTTATTACCTGCTCGACCGACTATGCGAAGACCCGGAGAGCCAACAAGACCTGGGGTAGATGCATCAAAAGGCTCTGTGCCAGACTCGAGTTTTCTTGTACCAAAGTTCAGACGCTGGCACAGCATCAGGGATGTTGGATACGCTGTCTGACGCTGCTGTCTCTTTAACAGACGTCTACTGTAACTCATGGATTCAATTACCTCAACGTGGACG